AATCACGAAATTAAATGCACTTTGTTAAGTACGTATACCTCAAAAATGAAATATTTAAATTATATGAAGTTCATTCTCTCTACCACATTAATTGTGATTAAAATAAGAATAATAACATAGAGCAATATATATATCTACCGTCTGCACAACTAAAATGAATATTAAATATAATATCAAATACGGTAATAAAATAAGACAATTTAATATTAACAGGAAATAATAATCTGGTATCGCTAATATTGCGTTCAGTGATGAACTAATAAAATAAAGCAATTCTATATGAACCGGAAGTAATAATCTGGTATCACTAATATTATGTTCAGTGATGAACTAATAAAATAAAAATACGCACGATTATTCGATCTTGGTCGGTGCCTCCAAAATAATTATGACTGTAATACTTCTTTGGCGAAATGAAGCAACTCCAATGATGGAACACAGCAATAACTTTTATTTAACACTAAAAAAATGGCGACATACAAAACAAGAAGAGAAAACATATTCTATCATTTAAAAATAAATTACATTCTTCGTGCGAGAGTCGCACGTGGCACTCGAGTCTGGTTTCAAATATTGCCATTTACAAATAACTTAATGTTCATCTATTTAAATTATTTAAACTACAAGATTTTAATACTATTTAAAGCTGTTACAACGGGTTCGTTCCCAACCGGTATAGTGGTTAGCGTTGCTGACTCCCGTACCGAAGGGTCCGGGTTCGAATCCCGGAGAAGGCATATGTTTGTAAATGTTAATAAAATTGTAAAAGTTGTTATTTCAATATACCCCACGGATTGGAGGAAACGGCGTTCGCCAATCCCTCTTCTTTTTCTTGCTTAAAAGCTTGATACATACAACGGGTTCATATGAAATGAATGCACAAGTCCGATGAAAAATGAACAAAAATTTATTATTATCACAACAAAAATGCTTAAATTTTCTCAAATTATCATGCAGTATTACAATATCTCACAGTAGTTATCTTTTAACTACTCAAATGTCCAATAGAACGTAATTCAAAACAGCTAAAGAACGCTAATCCGCGAATTCGCTACAATCAACAACAGCAGTTTTCTAAACAACAACAAACTAAGCAACTACTACAAAACTGAGATGTTTTCCTCCTTTTATAAGATTTTAAAATCACGCGCTAGAATTTTCCAGTACTTTCTCGAAATCAAAAAGAGATATTTATTTATTTAATGCACGCGCTCTTGTATTTTCAATTTTCCGGCTTAGCTTTCTTTTAATATTCGTCACGCGCTGCACTGCGCGAGAAATAAAACCATTTAATTTATAATTGAACTAACATTAGCTTTTTAAATACCAAATTCGTAACACTGCCCCCTTCCCAAGGACTGCACGTCCCGGGCAGTACAATCCCTGGACAGGAAGCTAAACTTACAACTGTGGCATAAATGCAACTTACATTACAATATCAAAACAACATGAACAATAAATGCAATAACTAACTTAAACAAATCAAATGCTATCAAATACTAAATACAAAACAAATACTAAATACAAATCAAATACTAAAAATCAAATCAAATACACATTTAAAAACAAAAAGGACCATGGTCTTATACTATTTACAATTATTTACATTACGTACTATGGCCATAGTAATGAGCTAACCTGTCGTAATGAACGACTTTAGGTTTAGATTCGACGACTTACGGAGACGTCATTCAGTCTGTTCAGCACTGTATATGGACCATCCGAAGGTGACTGTAATTTAGGACTGAGTCCTTTTCGTTGAATCGGGTTCCACAACCACACCTTGTCTCCTTTGTTGGATCTATGTCCAGTAGCTCTTGTGTGTATCTGGTCTTCACTTTCTCCGTCGCCAAGTTCACTCGCTTTCGTGCAAAACGGTGCATCACTTCAAACCGGGCCTGGACATCTTGGATGTGTTCCTCAGGCGATGAAGGCGCATCCGTACGGCGGTCACAAGGCAGACGAAGGTCTCGACCGAAGAGCATTCTGGGATGGAGAATAGCTGGTAGTCTTGCATTTCTTTTCGACCCTAGTATGATTTCGGCAGCTTCCCGAGCTGGATCTTTCGGACAAGGCGTCGGCATTTCCAGGCGAGGATCCCTTTTGAGGATGGATAGTCATGCCATCAGATGCTGAAAGCAGCTTATTGTTTTTGAAATCTAAGGAAAAATTGTATTTCCTTAAAAAGTCCAATCCGAGTATGCATGGATCTGTAATATCCGCCACATATGCCGTGTGATGGTAGGCGGCACTTCCAAACGTGATGTTTACGTTTAACTTCCCAGTTATGTCGATCTTGTCACCAGACGCAGTCTGAAGGGTAACACAGGATGGCGTCCAAATAAGTTTATCTTTAAACTGTTCAGCTAAATCTTTCCTAATGATGGTAACATTAGCTCCTGTGTCAATGATCATATTGCAAGGAACTCCATCGATATTCCCATTGATGGACAGTCCGTTATTGTTGCCACTCACTATAGAGATCTTAAGCGCTTTAAAACAGGGTTTTTCATTATCTGGCAACCTCCGTTCCTTGATATGGTCATTAATTTGTTTCCTGCGTCGTTGCTCAGAAATTGTCTCAATTTTCGTACCCTGGGGTGTTCTGCAATTCTTTCGTACGTGGCCTTCAGCTCCACAGTTCCAGCACTTTGGTTTCTTGTCAGTCCTTTTCCTTCCCGTGGCATTTAATTGTCTGTTTAAATCGTATGCCTTATTTTCCGTGCTCTGGGGAGTTCTGCAGTTCCTTCGTAGGTGGCCTTCAACACCGCAATTCCAGCACTTTAGGGTCGGTTTCGTTTCACCACTATTCCGTCTTAAAGCATTCACTGGTCTTGTCAACTCATCCGTTTTATTATCCGTGCCCTGGGGTGTTCTGCAATGCCGTCGTAGGTGACCTTCAGAACCACATCTCCAACATCTTACAGCCACTTTGTTCTCACTGCTACTCCGTATCAAAGCATCGACTTGTCTGGATAAATCATCTAAACGAGCCATCAATTGGTCCCCTGGGTCGTGGACTCGCACAGCTCTGACTGGGTAGCGATCTCTAAGAGTTGCTTGCTGGGCTGCCTCCAATTTCACGGCGTACAACAGAGCGCTTTTTACATCCTTTACATCTGCCATTCGTAGAGCTTTCTGTATTTCAGTATCTCGGATGCCGTCGATAAAGTATTGCAAGGACAGGATTTCCCTTGTTTCTGTCGGGCATTCCGAAAAGGCGAGATGGGACAGCCTTTCAACATCCGCGGCGAGCTCCTGAAGTGTTTCGGTAGGCTTCTGTTGACGAGATTTTAATTGGAGCCTGCTGTAGTCTTTTAAACATTTCTCGCCAAAGTGCAGCTCCAATGCGCCGGATAGAGCTTCGAAATCTAGCCTTTGGTTTTCGGGAAGCGTCTGCAGGATATCCGCTGCGTCTGCTCTCAGAGAAGCGAAGCGGCGAGATGACAGGCCTTAGCTTGGGAATCCCATCCATTCGCATCCGCCACGATAGAAAATTGTGTCTTATACACTTGCCAGGAGGTCTTCCCATCATATGTGGATAGCTTCAGAGAGGGACAAGCAGAGCAGGAAACATGGTAAAAATTTAAAACCATCACTAATTGTTCCCTGCCGTCGCTACGAATTTCTTTAAAATATCCAACTTCTTTGGCAACTGCAGAAAGAAACCCTATCATCAATTTGTTGTTCGATTTGGTGTTGGACGGCACAAACTCTTCCTTCTATATGTTCTTTACAGACAGAAGAAAAACTCTTTCTTCTATTTCTTCTTTCACCGAAGAAACTCTTTCTTCAATTTGATCTTTTACAGAAGAAACTTTTTCTTCAATTTGTCCAACTTTATTTTCAACTGTGTCAATTCTGCCTTCCATAGCTTCAAATTTATTTTCTATTATGCAGGTAATTTCTCTTTTCATTTCTTCTTGACCAGCTTGAACGGCTTTCATTTCGTCCTTAACGGATTCCTGGCCCAATTTCATTTCTTCTTTAAATGAGGCAAAGGCTGATATTAAATGCCTTAATTGCTCTTCCATCGCTCTTGTTAATTGGCATTCAAATCCCACTTCTGACACCAAAAATTGTTGCGTGCGTACGGGTTCGTTATGAAATGAATGCACAAGTCCGATGAAAAATGAACAAAAATTTATTATTATCACAACAGAAATGCTTAAATTTTCTCAAATTATCATGCAGTATCACAATATCTCACAGTAGTTATCTTTTAACTACTCAAATGTAAATAGAACGCAATTCAAAACAGCTAAAGAACGCTAATCCGCGAATTCGCTATAATCAACAACAGCAGTTTTCTAAACAACAACAAACTAAGCAACTACAACAAACTGAGATGTTTTCCTCCTTTTATAAGATTTTAAAATCACGCGCTAGAATTTTCCATTACTTTCTCGAAATCAAAAAGAGATATTTATTTATTTAATGCACGCCCTCTTGTATTTTCAATTTTCCGGCTTAGCTTTCTTTTAATATTCGTCACGCGCTGCACTGCGCGAGAAATAAAACCATTTAATTTATAATTAAACTAACATTAGCTTTTTAAATACCAAATTCGTAACACTGCCCCCCTTCCCAAGGACTGCACGTCCCGGGCAGTACAATCCCTGGACAGGAAGCTAAACTTACAACTGTGGCATAAACATTACATTACAATATCAAACAACATGAACAATAAATGCAATAACTAACTTAAACAAATCAAATGCTATCAAATACTAAATACAAAACAAATACTAAATAGAAATCAAATACTAAATGCAAATCAAATACACATTTAAAAACAAAAAGGACCATGGACTTACACTATTTACAATTATGTTTTTGGCTTGATTTCCTTATTTACTCATTTGATAGCGGAAAATTCTACGTCCATTCAGCTATAAGATTGTTCATGCTATTTCTGAAAGATGTTTCTGAAGAAAACTCCCTACAAGTAAGAATATTTTTTGAGAGAAGAAGAACAACTACTTCTCAACCTTGATGAAATTCCTGTGTTTGTTCGTGGAAAGAGTGGAGAAGGTCACGAATAAACCGATTTTTCTGCGAAGATGGTACTAGGTGGATTATTGAAAGGATTTGGTAGATATCCTGCCGGATACAATGAAAGAGTTCATGGTCCATACGATCCATCTGTATATTACGGCAAAAGTATGTTTTAATTGTTTCTAACTTGGTTTTGCCTTTATTGTATCCAGCAGTTATGTGCACATTAAATATATTGTGGTTTCAGAAATTTAGAATACTTAAACGCTTACCTGGATAAGTGCAGTTTTTAAACCAAATAATGAATTTCAGTAAAGTAGAATATATTTACTTCATAGATATTAGATAATTAATATAATCGATAGATATTACACTTGTGTTGGAAGTTTGAAATTACAGCATCTGAATTACGAGGTCAGATTTTCGATTTTTGATAAGAATTGTTTAAAAATTCAGCAGATCATTCTTTTATTTCAGATGTATGTGGTTATTTGCATGACATTTAGCCTTGTAATGGCCTCCAGGCAAGCGGATTGAAATGATTAAAAGCCCCAAACACTGAAAAGATTTTGATGCCTCCGAATTCATTTAGGTCTTTCCCCATTATTCTCTTTAGCCCTTTGTTTAACGGCAGCGTGATTCGTGATTTCCATGGTAAAACCGGCAAAAGGAAATTTTTGTAATTCGCCTTTTCCTCGAGTCATTTTGTATTGTACCCTTTTTTTGACACCACAGCATGTGCTTGTTTTGCTTACTTGTTAATCCAGCTCTGCCTTCAGTATCATGGCAGCGATTTTGTGTTTTATCCCATCCATTGTGCAGGATATCTATCAAGTGACTCGCTGCTTGTTATTTTAAATGTCTCTCTAGCTGTTCAAATAGAGAATTCAAATTTTCAGTGGTATTGGTGTCAGATGTGGATATCGGGGCTATCATTCAGAAATATACGTCTCACGCTTTCAGTATTATAGCCCTTTATCTACAACAATAGGGCCAAGACTAACAATAATTTGCTGAAATAGAGATCTCCATATTTATGGGGTTCCCAGGCAGTGTGCATATGTTATGGTATTTGTGGTCAGGGTTATGTAGTTACTTATAATGACAATGCAGGCAGTTTTATATACTGTGTCACAGGTTTTGAGTCTTAATAAAACATGAAGTTTATATCAGAACTAAAAACTAAACTAATTAACTCTTTATATAAGTTTTTCTTTCAGTATACTTAAACTATGTTATCACATAGAGATGGGTATAACTATTCTTTATGGAAGCTTATCAGAATTGTTCACTCACTAAATTGAGTTAGTTACTTTTTTATGACTTGTTGTTCACTAACAAACCTTCATAAATAATATCAGGAATGGGGAAGTGGATCAAGAGCAGTATGTGCAAATGGAGCAAATAGCAGAAAGAATTGAACAAGGAGTGGAATTAGAAGAATTGAATCTTTCAAACCACTTACTTCCTGGACTTTAGCTGTAGTTTGGAGATTCCCTGGAAACTCATTTTTATATAGAAGTAACAACAAAATTTTGGAATAAAAAAATTTTAAAAGTTGAAAATTATAAAAATTAAATGTATTTTTTATATGAGAGAAACATTTCATTGTACTCTAAAATGCGAAATTGAACTTTTCTTGCACGCACCTCATGAGTGCTCTTAGTGGGTGAACTCTTAGGAGTTACAGCTCCATTTTGTCAGATCACCAGTTGCCCGCTCATTAAAGTAAACAGCTTCCTTGAATCAGTTTCTGAGGGTATCGTCCATCTCTAATATCATCAATAAATACAAAATTTTGAATTGCAGCCATACAGCTTTGCACTATCATAAATTGACCTTTATGTGTAAAACAAAAATCTGTCTAAAGCAAATTTTTCAGCGTTTGGTTTAGTAAAAATATATTTTAGGGTACCACTTGGCAATTTTTGGCAGTACATGGATACCGAGTTTCTGCAATTTTGTAACTTGTTATTTTGGTTTGCGTAGTGGCAATTTTTGAGCCAAACTAACAAGACAAAGAATTGCACAAATTCAGTATCCATGTACACATCGACCTATTTTCACTTAAAATAAATCCCAGAATTGCACAAAAATGGCATTGTGCACTCCTTTTATCCATGTAAACATCAACCTATTTTCGCTTAAAAAAAATCAGAGAATTGCACAAACTAGGTTAAATAGCCGCTACACAAAAGATAAAATAAAACAAAGAATTGTATAAACTCAGTATCCATGTACACATCGACCCATTTTCACTTTTAAAAAAAATCCCAGAATTGCACAAAAATGGCATTGCGCACTCCCTTGACTTTATCAATGTACACATCGACCTATTTTCACTTAAAAAAAAATCAGAGAATTGCACAAACTATGCCTTGTGCACTCCCTTGAGTTTGTTCATGCACATATCGATATATTTTCACTTAAAAAGTCAAAGGAGCAGCCAGTTCTACAGTAGAGGCAAACAAAAAATACAGAATCTCAACAAACTACATTTTAAACCAAACAATAAAATAACATAAAAATGGAAAAATATGTTATGCATTTAAGTACTACACAAAGCAAATATCCACTTACCTTATTTAAAAATTCGTTCATCTTCAGTCTGTGGCACACAAAATTCCTTAACCCTTTGCAGCACGCATATTTAAAATATATTTTAATCTTTAAAAAAATGCCTTAGAATAAGTCAGATGGACTTACTTAAGTGCCTTTAAGGCTTGAAAAAAATTCTGCGCTTTTATTTTTTACGGTGGAAGGTGGGATACCGTTTGTCCCACCATGTAACTAGCACATGTCTTATAGCATATTGGTGTATAGCAGGGAAAAAAATTATATGTGGAATGAATAAACAAAATAAAGCGTGCATTCTAAAATATTCATAATAAACACACTAAAATGCATTTTGTACTTATTGCATATATGCATGACTTGTAAAACTTTGCGTATGCACATTTTGCATATAGTATATATTTAATATTTTTAAATTTTAGGAACAAAAGAAAATATTTTCTTGAATATTATTTTAAGATTAAAATTTGGTACTCGTACATATGATACTAAATAAAATATTGAAATTGGCACTTGATTCAAAAACATTTATATTATATATGATTAAAATTGAAAAAAGTTATTTTTCATGAAACTTTGAAAAACATGTTGTTTCATTCTTTTGTAAGCATAGAGGCACTTCACATGTTTCACACATCCAAAATGTTCGTCGTTCTTCTTTCGATATGCTGCAATATGCACATATTCTCCTGCTCGTTCTCTTTTTCGTTTGACTTACATTTTTTAGTTTTATTTTTTCTGGTTGTACGAACGGTTTTTTAGTTTTTATTTGAACTGGGGATTTCAGTTCATTCTTTTCAGCTCTTTCTTGCCTGCAAGTGCCATTAGACCTTCTGTAACTGAGAGACTAGAAATCTTTCATTGTTTTTACATCATGATCAGGGTTCGCTGAACAAACTTGAAATAGAATAAATGTGTTTACTATACTCGCATCTAAAAAGTAAAAAAAAAAAAAAAAAAAAAAAAAAAAAAAAAAAAAAAAAAAAAAATATCATGTGCCATCCATTTCTTGCTTTTGCGGTCCTATTTCATATAGTCCTTTCAGTTGATCAAATCAAGTCGACATATCCCATATTCTTATTGTATGAAATAATGCTGTTTGGGCACAGTACTTTTTTTGTTGTTGTTGTTGTTATTGTTTTTCCATCTCGTTCTTTTCTATTAATTTCTTTCATTTCAGTTGCCTTTTCCAAGCAAGACAGGATCGAAACGGATCTTTTATCCTTCCATTTTATGCAATAAATTGAATCATCGCTAACTGAAAAGTCTATATATTCTCTTGACATAAATTTGTCTTTTAAATTTTTGGGTAGATACTTCCGATCCATATTTACAGTGCCACATGCATAGATGGGTCTGTGTCTTTAAAAAGCGAAACAAATTATAACTACTTCCCTTCCTTCTTCAGCAATAACTTCAACCTCAGTTATTCTCTCCTGGAATTTCAAATTTCATCTGAATTAGAACTGACATCTGAAGCATTTGAGTCGCAATTGGATGGCAATTCAGCAAAATTGGAATCCAAAGCTTCCTGAACTATGGATTAACTCTTATTAGATAATTCTAGACGTTTTAGCATATCAGAGCATACAACGGATGCAGAAGCGCGTGCGCAATCACGAAAAAAGTAGATGCAAAAAGAAAAGAAAAAATAATCGTGAGTGCTGCCATCTATTGAGCGGAATTCAAGTGTGTGGTGGGACCAAATTTTAACCCCCCCTTATTTCAACTGCAAAATTAATGTTATAAAATATTGAATACAATTAAGATTTTTTGAAAATAAAATACCTTTGAATATTAAAAAGAATCTTGCATATCATAAATTGTATACCAAAATTTTTAAAATATTGAAAAATGCGAGATACATGGATATCACTCTTGTGATCCTATTTTGAATATTTTTTGCTTATAAACTTAAGCCCTGGTATAGTAATAACATCTACTGAGAAAAATAACAACTAAAATAGATTATTTTTAAAAGATTAGAAAATTTCTAACGGAAATTTCTAACTGAGAAAATAAATATTAATTAGGTGGGATATATATTGACACACCATGCCGCAAAGGGTTAACAGCATTCAAAAACTTCCTAAAATTATCTGAACTAGAATCTGTATGTCGGTGTCGCCACATAAATTCACAAAAATCAAAAATATCCTCCGTAGTTTCGGACTATCTAGAAAATGGGCTACTAAGTAAACCTTCATTTGCACACAAGTAAATTAATTCACTTGTCCCCTTTCATTCCAAGTCGTACAGAAACTTCGAATTAATCTTACTATATTCAGCCATTGTACCATCTAAACAATGAAACAAGCAATGTACTTCCTAAGCAACACACATCACAAAAGCCCTTGCAGAACATCCCATGATTCAATATTTCTCAGAATAATGCAAACGATTGTGTCATAATAGGGTTTTCAAAACATTCAGTTTACTCAGGTTACCATAAATGCTACAACTTGGCGATAAACGAAACAACTTCGTGATAATACATGGGGTACCCTAAAGTCAACTCTAACCTTTGGTTTTTATGAAGCAATGTCACAACCATCAAAATAAAAAAAATTTTTTATTGCTAAATAATGTGCTATTCAGAAGTTAGAGCTCTTTAGTAATGATTTTTAGCAAATTTCAGGTGCTTGTCCATATTTTGGAAGCGATTTTTGGAAGGTTCCTTTGTAATTACTTAGGCATGATTTTCTGATGACATCGTATACTCTTATGGTTGCTAAAGATTCCAGTTTTCCAAGATAGTCTCAATTTTCCATCCCAAAATAATGTTTCTGAGGTTATATATTTGTTCTGGATTTCCTTTTGAAAAAGAAAATTTATGAGATGTATTAGGAAACGAAATAAATTCTTTTTAGTTATAGAAACTTTTAATTCTGAATTTTCCCAGTATTGTAAATTGCTTTCTTTATGTGCCTATCTTTACTTTTACTGCAAGGATATTGATTTTCTTGGACACGGTTAGTGGTCTTGTTTTGTGTGGTACTTCTGAAGGCATTCATGCAGTGATCATTTAATGGTCATTTTGTTGATTGTTATTCTGTGTTGGATGGTCTCTTTATGAATCGAATATCATGGTGAATGCACATGTGATATATTCTTTTGTATTTGTTAGTGGCAGTTTTTGCACATGCGTGTATTGATTTCAGACACTCCTTTGAAGTTAAGATGTGATAATGTCCCCTATAGTACAAGAGTATCCCTGAGGTTTTGTACAGGAAATATAAAAATATACTGAGAAAATTTCATAGTATTCCACTTATACACAAGAATGCTAATTAAATATTCCAGTATCTGCTTGTTTTGACATTCCAAGAATATTCCAGAAGTGTTCAAGGGCTATTCTGTACATATTCTAGAAATTTAGGCTCAAAACAAAAAGCAAAAATGCAGGACAATCTGCCTCTGTCACCTCTATACTGAGCTCGAGTCTGAATAAGAGAATGCTTTATGTATGGTGTGATGCCCAGGACCAATACATTATGAGCTATTGAAACTCAACTCGAAGGGATACTGTCAGCAAATGGATAATTTAAACAAAGCACTCGGAGAACAGAGGCAGGTGATGTTCGATAGGAAGCATATCATAGTGCATCATTATAATGCCAGGCCATATGCTGTTTTGGTGACTCATCAGAAAATCGAAAAGCTAGGCTGAGAATTTCTACTGCATCCACGATACTCCTCAAACCTAGCAACCTCTTTATCACTTATTCTTCTCCTTGCAAAATATTTTGAAGAGAGAAAAATTCAAAACTGAAGCAAATGTTAGCTAAGCACAGTTTGAGTCCTTTTCTCCTTAAGAGAAGATATTTTTCCAGAAAGTGTATTTACAAGTTACCATCATGCTGACAAGAGGTTAAAAGTTACAATGGAATTTGTATTGTACAATAAATATTATTAAAAGTATGAAAAGTGTATTATTTTCTTTCACTTTGCAGACTGACATAATTATCTGGTAGACTTTATAAGTATCAAAAGTAAGACAGGTTCCAGTTTGCCAGTCAAAGAAAGTGATAATCCTATGCATGTATATACAAACTTATAGTCACAGGTTTCTGCAATAAGCTTTATTGTATTTATTTATGAATCCGACTTGCTTTTTTTGTTTGTTACAGTAATTATTTTGTTTTCCTTTCTTTCATGTAGCAACTTCATTTATTTTCAACTAGTTCATCCTTTCTGTACTTTACAATTATTTTTTAAATATAAAGAGCTTTTATAGCATTCATGTACTTTGTCACCCCTCACATTCTTTATCTTTAAGGTTTCACATTCTTTATCTGTATTGTTGGACAGAGATGAGATATTCCATTAATGTGAGAAAATTCTTCAATATATTTTTCATTGATAATCATATATGGGACAAAATAATATCAAAAGTTGTAGTGAAAAGTTCAGGTCATGGAAGTTATGGTTATTTTGGCTTTGCGTAGCAGTGATTTTTGTGCCAAAAATACACAAATGGTGCCTACACAAAGGCAAAATAACAAGTCAAAGAATTGCAAAACTCGGTATCCATGCACACATCAAACTATTTTCACTTAAAAAAACATCAGACAATTGTGCAGTCCCTTGACTTTGTCCATGTACACATCGATCTATTTTCACTTAAAAAGTCAAAGGAGCACCCAATTCTACACTAGAATCAAACAAAAATATGTAATATCAATAAACTACATATTAAGTCAAACAATGAAATAACATAAAAAAGGAAATTCATCTTATAACATCTAAACGCTATACAAAGGAAATGTCCACTTACCTTATTTAGAAATTTCTATGTTTTCAGCCCATGGCACAATAAATTCCTTAATAGCATCCAAAAACTTTCCTCAAACCATCTTCCCTTTCTAATGGAACACTATATTGTGAGCATTTGAACCTTCCTTGTGACAAATCCATTCAAAGCCATCTGAACGATCTTTACATTCAACCATATGCATTTCCTTCGTACAAACAGGACACTTATAATTCTGTTGAATTACATCCAACAAAGTTTCTTTTCTTCTGCCCTCAGCCACTTCAAAAAATACACCTTTCGCGGTCTCGTTCTGTACCACCAAACACCCACTTTACCACTAGCAGCCATTTTACGAACCACAGTATGCAGTGTACTTCGTAACTGACATCCAACAAATATTTTCCCATCTGTCCCTGCATTAATGGAATATCTCATTTCTCTCCAGTCAAATTCACCACAATCACACAACCAATTATGTCATAATAGGGTTTCCATAACATTCAACTACTCAGGTTACCATAAATGAAACAACAACTTCGCAATAATGCAAGGAGCACCCTTAAATATAAGCTAACAAATTTTTTTATCAGTTCTAATTTTTTGTCAGGATCTCATTGTTTCATTATATCCATTTTAACTATGTTGTACTGCTATTACTTTTTAGAATTTCAGTGAGTAATCAATTGTGAATTATTTTTATATATTTTTAATCAATTATCTGGACATAGTCAAATGTTTTTGTACGTTTTGCTTTTGATTTTTTAAATCATAGAGTAATTAAATTATAGATAATTATTAATCCAAAATTTAATAATTGTAATGAACTTTGTAAAGCTTTAGTAAACAGGTATTACTAGATTATTTTAAAATCACATTTATGTCTTTTTCTATTCAGAAGACATCCCATTAAGTGAAGTAAAAATTGGTGAATTAGGTTCATGGCTGGCTAGAAGAAACAAGTCTCCTTCAGCTATGATTGGTGCTATGAGCAGAGGTGAGTTTAACAGTAAATGAGTTGAAGTATTACTTATGCACCCCACATTTTTTTAAAGTTTAATACATCTTCAGACAATGGAATATACAGAGAAGAGAGTGGTATGTGTTAGCAGGAGAGAAGCAAAAGTACAAAGGGGACTATTTCCAATTAAAATGAGAAGTTTGTTGTTATATTTTTATCTTACATATTTTCATTTGGAGATTTGTATATACAGTCAAAAGTCTTTAATCCGGACTCGTCGGGACTTTGGTGATTTCGGATTATCGATTTTTCCGGATTATAGATCATCAGTTATCATCAGTTAATTTGACAATAAGCAGACCTTGCAATAATCTGATATTTCCCTAGAAATATGAACTCATGAGAACATGAGATGTTCAAGTAAAGTTCCCTCACTCACATGTGGAAACCTTTCCCTTTAAGAAGGGTAATAAATTTGGGGGAGTTTGTTTAGGAATGGGTAAATTTCTCACCATACCATGGTATCTAATGTATTGTTATCGACGGTTACAGTTAGTTATCCTCACAGGAAAGAAAATTTATATTCTTAAACATGCATTAAGTGACAGGGAGTACAATTAGAGTGAAATACTGAGATAAACTGCTCAAGCATGTCCTACACATTGTCTTCCCACAGTATCCACTAATGCACCCAAATCCAGGGGTCGCAAAGCGTAACGAGCAATTTTACATCCATCCTTTAGAAGTCAGATTCAGCACTCATTTTATCCCTGACACACATCTGCTTGATGGTTATAATTATAGAGCAGAGAGCCACAGTAAAAGAGAACGTTCTCTCTCACCAAGATTCCCCTCATTTTTTGTTTCCATCCCACTTATACCCTCATTCTGTTTTGCCCTGGAATTTTTATCAGCTATACTTTAAGTACATTTAATTTTTGTGATGATAAAAGAACTCCCCCCTTATGATCAGAGCTTAAATTGGGCTTAAATAAATTAGTTTTTGTAATAAATGATAATTCTAGCCGGAACGCACCGGAGCCCTAAATAAGAAGACTGCGGCACTTCTTTATGTAGCTGAATAATAATTTCAGTAGAATTGTATCTCGAAAATTTTATGTAGCAAAATGAATAATTATTCCAATAAATAATAATTAATTATCTAATAATTACCAATTTATTTAATTTTAATTAATTTACTATTTAATACTTATCAAATAAATTATATAATAATTATTGATTAAATAAAATTTATAACATTAATTAAATAGCTATTAATTAATTTGATAATAATTAACTATTTAATTTAAAAATTATTAATGAGTTTAATAGTCATTTTATTTATTTAGTCTTTGTTAACGGTCATCCATAGGTCTCAGGCACTTCTAATTTTAGAAATTAAGCCCTGAACTTTATTAAAGAATATTTTATCATAGCAAGCACTACTACATTCTCCAAAATTATAACATTGTGTACTGATGTCAGATACATTAACTCAGTCTTTACAATCAAGAAAAACAGTAATGTTGCCAAATAGTAAGATTTGTAATTTTTTCTGGTGGTTTCATTGCTTCTCTGGACTCTTCTGCACAGAATTGAAGACTATCATGTCCAGGTTCATCAATTACTTGAGGGGAGTCTGATACTGGCATTTCCAATGAATTCATTTTGTCATGTTCATCATTTGGGTTTGGTGGTAAAATTTCTTCAGATTCTTGTTCTGTTATATCATCATCTGTCTGATCTCTATCAATTATTCTTGAATTGTTTTCACTGTCATTAGTTTGTTCGTTGTAGAAAATAATAAACTCTTCCAGTATTTAGTTTTTATTAAATTTTAAATCATTTCTTTTCAGTAAAGCTAATCCAAGTTTCTGCTCATTAAATTTTACATTTCCCACATCTTGAATTTTATTTAATTCAAGAATATAAATTTGTGGGCTTTTCTTTTCATGTTGTAGTCTACCACAATTCCTTTTTGAGCTTTTAGATCCATCTTTCCATGTTTTATATGAGTGTATGCTTCACAACCAAATCTTTTAAGTTAAATAATGTTAGGCTTGCATCCTGTATAAAGTTATTAAAGTACAAAGGTGCTATCACTTTTGTCATTCCAATTATTCACG